TTTTCTTTGCATTTTATCAAGAATCTTTAAATTATATAGCACCAGACCATATGTGTCAGAAATATTCTAAGCATAGGCAAATGGTATACTCATAAATATATAAGATTCTGGCAAGAAAAATTGACAAGCATGACAAAGACAAGCAACTTCATGTCAATCGGAAATGTTAGCTTGAGAAGGTGCAACAAGCCACTCTTCTGGAGGTTAGCGTTAGCCATGCAGATGGTAGGCAGAAAGTTAAGATAATCAATAGAGAGTAGTTTCGTTTTGGAGGCATTAAAATTAACAAGCCATTCTTTGTCCCAGTTAACAACAGGAAGTGGGTAATTTTTTGATCAGTTGCTAATTTGACTGTGTCAGATTTACTATTATATAATTGTTGCATCTGCATGATATTGTCTAAAGAAGAGAACTCGAAATCTGAATGTTTTAAAAACAATGATACATGAAATCAAATCTTAGCTTATGCACATGAATTTAAAATGCAAATTTCAAAGATTAAATGACTTCGAGAAAACAATAATAGATAACTCTTCATAAAACAATTTGTTTTTGGTAATGACCAGAGGAGGGTGAAATAAGTTTAAACTAGATCAAAGAGATAATTTGTTCTAAAACCAAAAGAAAAAATAATCTTGTAAAGAAACAATTAAAAAAAAACAAAAACAAAAAAAAACAAATCTCCTTTTCAGCCTTATTCAACAGTTAATACAAACAAAAAATATTAACATTCTATGTCTAAGAGAACTTCTGATTCTTAGAAGGCAGGGGGTGCATATTTCTGCAATAAAGAAGGAATGATCAAATATGACAACTGATTAATAGAAACAGGGACAAAGAGAGCTAAGGATCAAATTACCAGCTTATTAATAGGTGCAGCCCTAGTAATGTATGATAGATCTGAATGGCTGATGGGTATTAATATCAAAATATTAACAAGAATAACCACACTTCTTGTTTACTAATCAAATATTAATTATCTATATTAATAAAGATTATATATATATATATATATAATTAATATTTGATTAGTAAACAAGAATATAAAAAATATTTTTTATTATTTTTTATCTTCTTCTTTAATAATCAAAATCCTCTTACTTATATTATTTTTTATTTTTATAAGAGTTTAAATTGCCTAAGAAGTAAAGCTTTACAGGATATCAGATATGAAAAAAAATGAAAAAAATAAAGTTTTTCTTGTAAAGTAACTAGTGCTTAGTGATGAAAAATGAAATACATTGCTTACTTTGCTTTATACCATTGATAAAAACAGTAACGATATACTGGTGAAGTAGTAAGTAAAATATCCCAACCTCATCCCCTTTCAGGTTAACTTGGTCAAATTATAGCATCTTTTAGTCCATGGCAGAATATTTAGAGGTTTTAGAAAAAACTGAATACCAAAAATTTATTGAGAAAATATGTTTGTATGAGATAACCAGGAGGTAAGAGACACTGTGCTATTCAACTCCATCCAGGAAATCAGTCATCATATATAATAAAGAACAGTGTGACATCTATGCATTCCTTCATTTATGTCTATCAGATGTCACACTCAAGTAGCTAGATACATCAAATTAATAAGGGAATTCTGCTCTGATTCAAATATCTAACCTGGAGATAAGCAGACAATATCTACTATATCAATATTCTGCTGCTTGAATAGCACTAGTAAAATTAACTTGCAAATACTAAGTGAGGCAGAGTGCACTTTGATCCAGTTATTTTTATAGGTACTACACTAGTATTTTAATTTATTAAAAGGATTACATTTCTCATGAATTTTGTAATCTCAAATCAGTCTTTGAGGGTTAATTGTTTGAAATCAATTTTCTTTTATGGAATATATAAAAAAAAATTACATTTTTATTTTTGAGAGTTTAACTCCAATGATTTTTCTGATTTTTTTCTTTGAAAGGTTAAAATTTAATTGTCCACATGTTGTTTATGAGTGTGTCTCACTTGTGTTCCATTTGTAACAATTGTAGACATTAAAAACATCGATAAGCCATGGTTTATCTTTTAAAATTGAGTCATCTATAGAGATTAAAGGTCATTATCAAGATTTTAAATTCTTGAAAGTCTTGCTTTAACCTTTTTAACACTATAAACAAATTATTTTCTTTATAAGTTTTTATAAATAAATGCATAGTTTGGCAATTCCATTTGCATGAGCCTTTCAATTTGAACAATGATTCTGCACAAATTAAAAAAATAGTTATTTCATTAAAACTTACCAAATAAAGACAAAAGCAAATTGGAAAGAAACAAAAAGAAAAGCAGGCCATGTTCCAAATACCACAAATTAGCCTTTAAATTTAATCTATAAGCATGTATTTTTTTAAATCCAATACTGGATCTTGTGCATGATGGCAAAAATTAAAGGGTGTGAATTTTGTAAAAAAAGTCAAATATAATTTTTTTCTGTTACATAAATACTTTTCTTTTTCAAATCTGGGCTTTTTAATATAAAATTTTTAGTGTATACAGAATGAAATAATATTTGAGCTTCTTAATATGAAGTATTGCCAATTTTTTTTACTAGTATTCCTTTCAGTTACTAACCATATACACTGTACCTCTTACTCTGTAACCTTCTACCTTGAGTGGCTCATGGGCCTTGTACAAGATGAACATCATTGTAAAAAAAAAAAAAAAACTTTAACAGAATGTTGTCACAATTTATCCTCTAATTTGTGAATAGAGAGAAAGAATAGAAGACAAAGAGAGGAGGAGAGATTAAAAAAAATAAGAAAGAAGAAGAGAAACACAAAGGGAAATGATAGAAAGAAGAGAAAACAAGAGCAAAGAAGAGAAAGATGCACAATTATTAGACATGCACAACACAGAAATAAAATGAAAATAGTAATTGAACATAATTTCTAATTTTTAACATCAGCATTTTCCGCAGGAAACAGCAAAGTGAAAACTGAGTTTTTCTTCCTCCCAGAAAATGGAGACTGCAAAAATAATTATATTTGGCAAGTAGCTTCTTCAGGTGGTTGGGTACCAACACCCCCCTCACTTTCTGGGTGAACACAAGTATAAGAGTCATCTTATTGATAATTGATATCAATAATTAAAACTCTTCAAGTAGATTACATAATTAATTACATAAAATGAGTGAAGTTTTTTATGGGGATGGGGGTCATTTTGATTTGATGTTAAAAATGAACACATTTAATCCAATCTAAGTTAGCCAGTCTTAGCTTTACCTGAGATGCAAAATTAAATTCTCCAGAAAATTGTGTTTATCTATAATGCTAAGGGTGACCTTTTATCTCATTTAGGAAATAAATAACTTGCATTCTATTTATATTTTCTAAAAAAGTTGCCTTGAATTCATTTCTACAGTAAATCATGAGCAATTTATTCTTAATTTCAAAACCAATTTTCAGAGGAATTCTCAAAATGGGTGAGTAATTTGATTATTTTTTTTTATTTATTATATTTATAAGATTTTTTAAGTTAAATATGATAAACATAGTCTTAACCTTTATCATTCTGTATTTGACTTAATTTGCTGAACAATAGTGTGTTTGATTTTCATAGTTGTGTTGTCATATCCTGCTATGGCAACAGAAAATAACTGAGTAGAATTAACAATAAGGATATTGCAATTGTGAGGCCTTGAAAAATAATGCAGTGGTAAGGGAAGTAATATTAATAATGCAGATGGCTAAATGTTAAAATAATTTTCACAAGATCCTATGATGTTTATAGTCAGTACCCAAAAATGGGTGTCCACTTGGGAATACCAGGTGCTGTAAGCTTAGATGTGTGTTTGGTACAATGGATAACATCATCGAATAGGAAATTGGAGAACTGGGTTCCAATTCCAGTCAGATTCCTTTATGTTTATTTATGTGCAAATACTCTTTGGAAAGGTATGAATTCACCTCCTCTCCCCTGAGCTATGGGTTAGTTAGTAGGACTTGTATCAGTAAATCATTTTTATCTTAAAAACATTCTTACAATCTAAGAAATATCTTCTGACTTTATATAACCTGCAAAGGGTTGATAAGTTGAAAAAAGAAACAAATCAATCAATATAAAACAAAGTCCTATGAAAATTATTTTAGTGGTAACTTTATTTTGTTTTCTGTTGTTATGAAAAGAATTGAAGTCTTAAGGTTAATGACTCCTAATGAAATTACAAGGGATCAGTCAATACAACTAAAACTACTTTGTAATTGAAAATTACTAAAATAGTAGAATTTAAATAATAGATTTTTTATGTTGAGCACAAATTCTGATATTTGCTGAACATCATCATGTGAAGAATTTAGATTTGATGAGTTTTTTTTATATAGATTTAATGCAAGCATTTGTTTCAGTTGTCTGTGAAAGTTTATAAAAAAGGGAAACATTTGATCTTTTGATATGAACCAATCATGTGATTGAAAAGTTTCTTAGTTTAGTAATATTTTGTAAAAGTAAATGTGATTGAAAATACAAAAGCGGCTAACAGATTACTTAATGCAATTTTTTTTATAATTAATTGCTACTGTGTAACAAACCAATTAAAAAACTGTGCATGTACAATGTACAAGAAAGAATATTCAAGAAATTGAATTGTTGAGATCATGAATCCTAAGCATTTTTTTGCAATTTAAAAGTTAAACTGATTTCATCCATTTTAGAATTGTAATAGAGACCTTAAGATTCCCTGTTGAATAGTTTTTCTACTGACCTCTTCAAACATCCTTTTTGAGAAGATATTGGAATAAACAAAGTGTGTGAGTCTTGTTAGAGCAAGATATGATAACTGTATGAAGCAATGAAGATTTAAAGAGGCCAGAGAAAAGGGATTGGACAGAAATGTTAGAGCCAAGAGGATAAAATAATAAAATGCAAGGTCCTGTTTTAGGTTGGGTAGAGATTGGAAAAGGAAATGAAGTCAACATGTTAGGAAGGGAAAAATCATCAAGCGGAAAAGACAAAAAAAAAAAACAAAACAAAAGATTATGAGAAGAGAATGAAGAGGACAAAAGAAATTAGGCCAAATGGAGAAAAGAGAAAACTGAATAGATGTTAACTGGGAGAATGAGGGGGAAAAAGAGAGACAAAAGAAATGAAAGAGAAAAAAAGAGATAAAAGAAAAGAAAAAGAAAAAAGGAGACAAAAGAAAAAAAAGAGACTAAAGAGAAAAAAGAGACAAAAAAGAAAAAAGAGAAAAAAAGAAAAAAGAGAAAAAAGAGACAAAAAAGAAAAAAGAGAAAAAAGAGAAAAAAAAGAAAAAAAGAGAAAAAAGAGACAAAAAAGAAAAAAGAGAAAAAAAGAAAAAAAAAAAAAAAAAAAAAAGAAAAAAGAGAAAAAAGAGAAAAAAAAAAAAAAAAGAGAAAAAAGAGACAAAAAAGAAAAAAGAGAAAAAAGAGACAAAAAAGAAAAAAGAGAAAAAAGAGACAAAAAAGAAAAAAGAGACAAAAAAGAAAAAAGAGAAAGAAAAAGGAGACAAAAGAAAAATAAAAAGAAAGAGACAAAAGAAAAAGAGACAAAATAAAAAGAAAAAGAGACAAAAGAAAAGAAAAAGAAGAGATAAAAGAAAAAGAAAAAAGAGATAAAAGAGAAAGAGAATAAAAGAAAAATTCAAGAATCAGGTAAAATGAGAAAAAAAAAGAGGATGGAATAAGGACTGATGGCATGGAATTTGGAAAAATGATGAAAGAAAAGAATAGAAGGAATAAAATAAAAACAAGAATGACAATTCCGAATGAAAGAGGAAAAGAAGAAATAGCAAAAACAGGAAAAATAAATGAAAAAGGCACACAAAAAATAAAAGTAAAGAAAAATTGCAGGAAAGAGAATGAAAGAAAATCCAAATGAATAATTAAGAATAAATTCAGTGAAAAACTAAGATAGAAAAAAAGCAGCAAAAAATAAAAATTCTGAAAAAATGAAAGAGTAAAATCTGAGATGATGGAAAGAAAGTAAAAGATAAAGAAAAAAAGAAAAAGAAAGAAAAACAGCAAAAAGATAATAATAAAAAGAAAGAGAGAAAAAGGACTGTAAAAAGATAAAGGAGTGTCCAGAATCAGTTGGGTGACTTTTTGCTTTCTTTACTCAAATGAATGAACACAAAATTATGTTGCCCTGTCTGCATGTCAATGATAAAATTACACAAGGCCAAAGAGGACACTTGATTTTAGGTGTGGCTTTATTGATTTGGGGTATGGTTACAATTTATACACTATAAAATGACTGAATATTTATTGTTGCGTGAATCTGACTTGTATATCCAAAATGTTTTTTTGGTCTGTCCATCAAGATGTTTCCAGCTATGGCCTCAGATGGAAACCCAGGGCATGTTTTAGCCTATTAGTCTTGAGAAATGCCAAAACAAAGTTTTTAGAGAGAGAGGTTTGATTTAAAATGTTATTATAATGCTTAATTTGGAACCTTGCTTTGTGTACATCAGGTTAGCTAAACCAAATCTTTTTGTTTTAGCTAAAAACAACAAAGTACTAATTTTTATTTATTTTTTTATGTTTTTAAATCATTCTGCAATTTTTCACTCTGCATTAAAGAATGCCATGGTTTTCTGATCTGGAAAATATGCCATTAATTTAAACAATTTACTTTGAGATACATTTAATAAAGCCAGAATATTAAACAAACATTGTTTTGTGACATAACTAATTTGTTTATCTGTAGTGAAGTAAAAAAAAAAAAAAATTTCCAGGGGCAATATTAGTCAGATAGAGAGAGTTTCCAACAAAATATGAAAGAAACCTTGAAAAACATTCAAATCCTATTAAAATTTGGTTAAAACTAAAAGAGCTTGAATTACAAAATGGACAAATTTCTTGCTTGTTAGTCAAATGCCAATTACTTACAAATATGTTTTTCAAGTTATATTCATGTTCTATGTAACAGCCTGAAGGACACTGAGCTAAAATTGTGAACAGATGCTAAACTGATCCTTTTTGTACTGTCAAAGAGACCAGCCTCTCATTGTTGAAAATCAAAGAAAACTTAAAATCCTTGGCCACTGAAGAATTGTATGACCTAAAAAAAAATATACATGTTGGATTTTGCATTAAATACCCATAAGAAATATTATAATAGTGTATAAAGTTTTAATGTCAATTATTTTGTAATCAAGCAAATGAACATTTTTCAAAGAAGTTTGAATTTGAATGAACAGATTCATCAGTTAAAAGCCATTTAACTGAATGGGGAAATAGCTCTCTTGAGAACATTATCTTATTTTGAAAAAGGAAGATTTTTTTTTACTTCTAAATTAAAATGGACCAATTTTCCAGTTATAAAAAAACTAGTTTTATTCCATTTTATTAAAGTTAAACAGTCTGGATTGATACACTTCAGCACTGATAATGCCAAAATGGAAAGAAAAAAGTCACTTCTGGTGTCTTTAATTGGTATCAGACACGTTGAAAGCCTATCTTTCATGGATAGTGCAGAAACTATTTTAGACACAAAAACTGAAGCTACATTATTACGCATTGTGTGTATGCATTGAATATCTGAAACAACAGAAGCATGTCTCCAAAATCTAACAATTTATACATTCTCTCAATAGCTCTGTACCAAATTCCCTGTGAATACATAAAGTTCAAAGGTCAGAAAATTATAACCTTTGATAAAATTTTGCAAAAGATAAACTGTGTACTCTGCTGTACTTAGCTTAACTGATTCTTTTAACCCTGACCTCTTTCCGCAGCCCCCCCTTTTTTAACTAAATTATGATTTCAAAGACCAATTTTCATTCAAGATTGAGTTCTATTATTCAATATATACTGAGAGGAAGACAAAAAAATAAAATAAAACAAAAAAGTCTGATTGCCATAGCAAAGCAGATAGACACTGGTTCTTTATGTGATCCATTTGCTATAAACATGATTTCAATCCGCATCTTAGAGGGGTACTCTTTTCATATCGTATAGAGCAGCCCATTTATTAACATATCTGAAACATATGCAATTACCTTGAACCTAATGATATAGAGTATAAGTACATAACCGACAGATTCAAATTCGTTTACATTGGTAGGCATAAGTTTATTATACAAGATTAGCTATGACTGATAATATAAATAATAAGTAATGCACTCAAATCAAAACAGTGCCACGTAAATTTAGGTAGCTGTATAAAACCAATGGAGAATTACAGGTTTATAAAATTCACCGATATATAAGTAGCATTGAGACTATCAAGGTTATAGTGTCTGATGTCAGCATTTTATGACTACTGTAATCCGATTCAAATAATATAAAAGTCAAGGCTATAATCTTTCTGAATCAAGAATATAGAAAACCTAAGTTTAGAAAATTAAAATAATCTTAATGTGGTTAGCAAATTGTTTGATTGAACAGAGTGCAGTGTAAGCAAGATTTTATGAAAGGCTATAATTTGTTGTTTTGACTTTAACAATGAATTAGACACACAAAGCTAATGAAGGAATGAATGGAAATTTAGATATTAGTTAAAAACAAAACAAAGAAAACTGAAATCTCATTAAAATGAGTCCTCCCCGCCAGGTGTAATGATGGAAAAGTGCACAGCCATACCAACTGTTGTATCTGAGTAAAGACAAATATCCTTTATTGCTTGTAAAAATAAAAAATAAAATACTTTGCCCAAGGCAAAATATGTCAAATATAGACATTTACTCTTTAAATCAAACAGGTTGGTATAAGATTGTGTTTTTAATTTTTTTATTTTGTATATGTAATCACTTCATACATGCTCTAGTAAAATCCACAATGATTATTTGAATCTAATATTAATGTCCACCTTTTTTTTTTTTTGCTGGGAAAGGGCTATTACCTTATATTTTATAATAGTCAATTGAATAAACTCACAAAATGAATTTTACAATACAGACAATGAATGTCATTTCTCAAGCAGACTAGCAAGGGAGTCACTGTCATTGAATAAGTCATGTTAAGCCATTAGCTCAAATGAAATTTGGTAAAACTAATATATATAGCTTTCTGAATTTAAAGAACACATGTATGGCATCCAAAGACAATACAGAGACTGTGATAAAAGCCAGAGATGTGATAATATTTAGCTAATGAAATGGAGCTGCTAAATTAAAAAATAAAATCAGAAGGAAGTTGGGAAAAGAAAAGACTTAGAAATATGCATATCATTTGAGTATGTGAGCTTGACATATGTAGGTCAAAATTTAACAATTGCATTGAGTAATCTTGGACTATTGCTTTTAAGGAAGGGGAGTAAGAAAGAGAAAAAAAATGTGTGTCTGATGTTCATAAACCAGACTGAAAGACAGAAACATAATAAAACTGCTGTTCAAGAGAGAAGAAAATAGTTAAAGTAAAAAGAAAATAGAGAAATTCATTTGAATCTTGGAAGATTCTATTGTGTAACTTGACAACTTGACCCAAGTTAGTCATGGGATAGGTGAGATGTGTAATGCGGTGGGGAGGGGTCAGTTTTTGTGGTGTGATGGTGTTGCAACTGATGTTGGAATGATAATGATGATGATGATAGGGGTGGGCATAAAGCTGAGACAGGTTTGTCAGAGAGGATAGGTCAGAGGAAGAAACATAATAGTGGTAGGAGGTGGAGGTATTTAACTGCTTAGAAGATGTCCATGCAGATTTGATAACATGGTAAGTGTTATCAGTTTGAATCTTATAATGGAAATGTTTTTTTTGTCTCTTATATTTATCAGTTCAGACTTTAAAGACTTTTCATGGTAAAGAAAGAAAAAAATACACTTGCTACCAAAACTTGTTGAAGAACCAACATTAACAAAACAAAACAAACTACAATAGAATTGCAGGTTTTAAAATATATTAAACAGAAGCAGGTCTAAGTTGTGAAAAATTTATCAGAAGAATATGATAATAAACTGTCCATGTCTAGAAAAAGAAGACTATTTGAGGTTGTGTGTGTGTATTGAGGAAGCATATCTTCATTCAAGCATGTTTAGCTGAATAATCTAGACATATTATGTCTATTTTTATTTTAATCTTCTCAAATTCATGCTTCTCCATCAAATAATGTTTTGCAAGAGATCAACATTGTATATCAATTTAAATGTCCATTTGAGATTGTATCTATGACAAAAAAGTAAATATATATGTTGGCTTCACGATGACAACAACATTATCAAGGAGGCTTACATTAAATATGTCAGATTCAAGATCTGTTGCACAACATTTACAGGAACATTCCTGTCCACATTCACGTTTTAAAGAAATATTAATTGACAATACAAGTATACTCCACCACGAGAATAAAAACTAGAACTTCAAATTCTTGAAGCCTTCTATATAAAAAAATACAACCAACAATAAATAAGATTAATTATGAGTATAGCAAAAATCTTTTAAAATAGCTATAAAAGCAATGTTTTGAGATACTCAAATTGTAAAAAAAAATTTTTTTTTAAAGTTGCACATTGAGCATTTTAAAACATTAATAATAAAAAAATATAAATATAAATAAGTTACCTCCCTTACATGCATATTCTTAACAGTTAATTTTTAAATTGACTATAATGAAGTGTGTTCATAATTATAACAGAATATGTTTCATACGGATTTATAAAAAAAAAATCACAACTATCAATTACATTAATTTTTCGTTTTAGCAATTCACCCCTGAAGATGATCTTAGATGAGATTGAAAGTACTTGGGAAAATAAAAGAAATGATGAAAAATACAGCGCCTTAATAAGTTTTAATAACAACATTAAGAAAATTTATCCGTGAATTTGAGAGAATTAAAATAAAAATAAACAGACATAATATGTCTAGATTATTCAACCAAACATGCATGAATGAATATATATCACTTTACAAAATCTAACTTTTGAGAGAAGTAATATTTGCCAAGTAATATATATATATATATATATATATATATATATATATATATATATATATATATATATATATATATTAATAATTTTAAGAAGATTTTTTTTTTTATTATCTGACATTATTTCTTATTACTATGTTATTTTTAGTTGGTACATGCATTTGAGTTTCTATCCTTGTGTTTTATTTTATCAAACAATGAAATTAATAACAACCAGCTTGGATTGAGAAATCCTACTAAAGAAAAAATTTAAGCTAGTTGTTATTAATTTCGCTATTTAATAAAATAAAAAACAGGGATAGCAACTCATATATATATATATATATATATATATATATATATATATATATATATATATAGTTAGTTAGTTTATGCAAAACTAGGTAATCTGTATGGGTAGACCCAAGGAGGATGATATCCAGAGAGCTCAATGTAAATTCAGAGCAAATAAATTTGAATAAAAACAGACCACTTTAAGGTTCCATGTAATAACTTATTTCACCACAGCCCTTTTAAAAGGGCTCTGGATCATCAGACTTTACTTCCAAAGGTTGAAATGAAAAATGAAAAGAAATTTACACATTTTTGATGGGCCGTATTAAGCATATGTAAATTAACAAAGTGAGAAGGGAGAGAAGACATGAGTGAGTTAGATGTACCATTTCAATTCTTTATCCTTAAGCTCACTTGATGATCCAGAGCCCTTTTAAAAGGGCTGTGGTGAAATAAGTTATTACATGGAACCTTAAAGTGGTCTGTTTTTATTCAAATATATATATCTCCAGGTAAGATGAGAACAAATGAAGTATAATTCCACTGTCCATAACATTTAATTTAAAAGAGGGCTCAATACAGAGTAGAGCTATTAATCGTTCACTTGCCAGTAATTTATCATTGCCTGAAGTGATACATTTGTAGTGTTGAAATATGATTGCTATTGTATAGCAATTTTTATCATGTTTTTCTTTTAATCTCCTATAATAAATAATTATATATATATATATATATATATATATATATATATATATATATATATATATATATATTGAGAAATTGGAGAGCTGAGTTCAATTCAGTTGAATCCATTATATTCGCTTAGGTGCTAATACCCTTGGGAAAGGTATGAATCCTCTTCTTCTCCCCCCATCTATGGGTAAATAGCAGGACAGACTGGGTTCTATAGCCTTGGATGGCAACTGGTCTACTGCAGAAAGAAATGGCAATCTACTGCAGGAAACAATCTGCCTCATCTGTCATTTATTGAAAGATACATGATCGTCTACGCATGTATCACACATGCCACATAAACATATATATATATATATATATATATATATATATATAAATAAAAAGAAGAAACCATTTATCAAGAGAGGATGTTCATTCAAAGTCAGATGTGGATTTTGGAATGGGTCCCAGAGAGGTAGATGAATGTCACTGCAGTGGGTGGTGATGATGGTAGTTGTAACAAAATAACTTTGATGTTGTGTTAATAATGAGCTCTGCACAAAAAACCCTAACAAATCTTAATTAGATTTAATCATACAGAAATCTACTAGCAGTGAAAAAAGACCAATGCAATTAATTAAACAGAATAAGAAAAAAAAAGAAGATTAATAGATAAAAATTATGCCAAAAAAGCTAAATATTTTGTTTTCTTTCTACAGACAGTGAACAGAAACTATGTAAAGTGGGATGCAAAAGAGAAGATTTAAACCAAAGGGATTGTTTTAATTGGATTCTTGTGGACAATAATATTAAGAATGAAACCTTCTATACAAAAGTGCTCTGTGTATATTTATACATATAAATGTAATTAAGGTAAAAAGGGATTTATTTTTATATATAATTAAAACCAACTTAAAAAAAGAAAAAGAAATTCCATTTGTCTTACAAATACAGAGTGCGATGGGTAAATTGTCACCATTTTATATTTTTTAATTTCGCACATGCCTGTTGTTTGTTTTTGATTTTGTTGTCTGCACAGTATAGTAGGGTCAGTTGGGTACAGTTTATGAGAAAAAAAACCCCAAAAAAACCCACCATGACACAATTCAA